AATTTCTGGGCACAAACGTCCGCGTTGGCCGTATATGCATCTACAAAGGTATTCAATACCCTGTAGTCCATGACCGGTCTCACTTTTCCCTTATTCTATTGCACTATTGCCATCAACGGAATCAGTACGGCGCAAGCCAGCCGTTTGCTATCTAAAGCTGCAATTCATTTTCGTATTCACTCCTGATATGCTCTGGAACCGGGTACTCGGCTATTTTATTTTTCAGTGGCGTGGGCGTTCGTCCACCCGCCCACTTCCACGTTGCGGTCCATACGCGTCTGCGCTGGTCGAAAGTTGCATTGAAGTCAGGTTCGTTAATCCTCAAAGCAGCACAGATGGGCGGATCAGAAAACTCGACTTCGCCCGCCCCTGTGATGCGTACGCCGCCCAGCTCCTTAATAATGTCCATCCCAATGAGCAGATCAAAACCTAATAACGCGCTGTCCACGACCAACACGCTGACTCTAACGGGGTTACCGTTGTTGATAGTGAGTTTGATGTTTCCAACTCCCCGGCTTCTGAGAGCTTTTCCATCAGCCGTTAGTACGTCCGTCTTTTGTCTGCTCCACTGTCGACAAATCGAACCGTTCGTGAGTGACCGAGATCAACCCGAATCTACTAAAGCGGTACGCGTTATTCTATTGATGCGCACCTTAATCACAGTAAGCGCCTCTTTCATGCTCGGTGTGGAGAAGAGACCGGCTGACGTCGCATTCCCCATTCTATTTCCCGGACACTTAGAGGCAATGTAACCTACTTTATGACATTGGAAACATCGTAGATCGAAACGTGCCTTTCGCGCCGACCCGCTGGGTCGACACGGCTGTTATGCTACGCTCACTTCATAAGTTCGAAAGAAACAAAAATTTCACGATGGTTAAGAGTAGAGATTTTCATGGTCCTAAGCTAAAAAAAACCCCAATTAAATAGAAAAATAAAAGGCAAAACAACAGAAATATAAATTGATTCCCCATTTTGTCTCTACACAAAATATTTCAAGCATATCCAAATTGTATAGGTAGACACGGTTGCATGATACGATCACTCCATAAGTCCGAATGAAAAATCTTTATCCAGGGTAAACAGTAGGGATTTGCATGGTTCTAATGTCAAATTGAGGATATTAAACAAAAATCTAAAAGACAAAATGTAAGTGAATATACACTGATCCGCCACTTTATGTCCGTGAAAAAGCTATCAAAGATATCCCAATTGCATAGGTTGACATGGTTACACATTATGCTCAATCCATAAGTCCGAATGAAAAAAAAAAAAAACTTTACACCAGGATTTAAACTAGAGAATTACATGATCCTAATGCTAAATGAAAGAAGTTAAATAGAAATGTAAAGGACAAAACACAAGAGAAATATATATAGATCACAAACTTTTTATCCGAAAGAAAATTTTAAAAACATCCCAATTATATGGGTCAAAACAAATGCATGCAACGTTCACTTCATTTGTCCGAATGAAAAAAAAAATTCCACCATGTTTTAGAGGAGGTATTTAAATCATCCTAATGCTAAATGAAATAAGTTAAATAGAAATCTAAAGGACAAAGCATAAGAGAAATATACATGTGGGGATCACTTACACATGCCACACCTCCATTTCCTTCAATATCATTGGTTCGTAAATATATGATACTTATCATATGACAATTTTGCCATCAAGGTAATTTGAAATTTTCTCTAAAATCACGGATTGGTCCATTTCCTGAGCAATCGTGTATTTTAGTATCTTTCTATATTTTTAGCGCCAAGCTCGCTGGAGCCTATCCATCGATATATAAAGACTCGCTGTTTGTCAACAGCCAGTAGCATTTCAATTCTTGGAAAATAAGGCACGGCGCTATATTGACATTTTAATTTTTAATTATTACTCAATCGAGTAATCATACTAATTCCTATTGATATCACTCATGAACATTACATTTTCTACACTGATAAACACTGTGGAACTATTCTTTATTTAGCTAAGACTTCAATTGAACCTTGTAGTTAAATAACATTCAATATTGTACTCAACATTAATTAGCTAAACTTACCCTTTTTTATTACGGAAGAAGGGAAGCAACTTTCTTTATACTATTGTTGATATTTGTATATCATTGTTAATACAATATTTTATTAATGTTCACTGAGCTTGATTATTTTTCTCTCGTGTTTGTTGTGCATTATTCATGTGAGGTGTTGTTTTACAAGAACACAGCCTTCCTTCTTTATTATATTCACGGTGACCCTAGCCAACAATACTTACAGCACCGCTACATACAGTGATCCGTCACTTTGTGCCCACAAAAATCTTTCAAACAATTCGGTTGCATGCTATGCTCACTCCATAAGACCGGATGAAAAAGATTTTCCACCAGGATTTGGAGGAGGGATTTACCTGACCATAATGCTGAATGAAATAAAGTTAAATAGAAATCAAAAAGACAAAGCATAAGGGAAATATAGTGATACACAATTTGCGCCCACAAACAACTTTCAAGGAAATACCAATTATATGGGTCGACACAGTTGCATGCTACGCTCACTCTATAAGTCCTAATGAAAAAGAATTTTTACCAGGATTTAGAGGAGGCATTTGCCCCATCATAAAGATGATTAAAATAAGTTAAAAAGGAATCTAAAAAACAAAGCAAAAGAGAAATATCCCCACAAAATTCTTTCAATGAAATCCCAATTGTATGGGCCGACTCAGCTGCGTGTTATGCTCATTCCATAAGAACAAATGAAAAAAAATTTTCACCAATTATTAGAGGAGACTTTTGCATCATCATAATGGTAAATGAAAGATGTTAAATAGAAATCTAAAAGACAAAGCAAAAGAGAAATATGCACTGATCCCGAACTTATTACCCACAAAATTCTTTCAAGGAAATGCCAATTGTATGGGCTGACTCACCAATTATTAGACGAGAGATTTACCTGATCATAATGCTACAATTTTATCAGTGAGGTCTGAGTTATTTGGGTCGACTCCGTTGCATACTAAGCTCACTCCATAAGTTCGAATAAAAAAAAAATTCTCCCAGGTTTTAAAGAATGGATTTACCTGTTCATAATGCTAAATTAAAAAAGACGAATAAAATTCTAAAGTGGAAAGCATGAGAGAAATATACAGTGATAACCCATAAAATTATGTGAAGGAAATCACAATTATTTGGGTCGAATCAGTTGCATGATACGCTCACTGCATAAGTTCGAATGAAAAAAAAATTAACCAAGTTTATAGGAGGGGTTTACCTGAACATAATGCTAAATTAAAGAAGATAAATAAAAATTTAAAGGGTAAAGCATGAGAAAAATATACAATGACCTCTCACTTTGTACCCACAAAATTGTGTCAATTAATTGGGTCGCCTCGGTTGCATGCTACGCTGACTCCATAATTGTGAATAAAAAAAAATTTCCCAGGTTTTAGAAGAGGAATTTACATAATCATAATGCTAGATAAGAGAAGATAAATCAAAATCTAAAATGGAAAGCACGAGAGAATTATACAGTGATCCCCCACTTTGTATGCATAAAATTTTTTCCGTGAAATCTGAGTTATTTGGGTCGACTCGGTTGCATGCTACGCTCACTCCATAAGTTCGAATAAAAAAAAATTGTATGGTTTCAAAGGAGGGATTTACCTGTTCTTAATGCAAAAGAAAAATAGAAATCTAAAGAGGAAATAAATAAATACCAGTTGACCGGTCGAAATAATCTACAGGTACTCAGGGAGCGTACGGCCAGTTACCCCTAAGTTCGGTTCGGACCGAGTGGACACCTCAACCCAAAGAGGAAGACGCCGGAGGTTGAGGAGCTGGGAAAGAAGTGGTAGATTTGGTTGCCATTGACCAGGATTGACCTTGAGTTACCACGAAAAATAAGGCCAGAAACAGCTTTGAAGAAAAGCAAGCATTAAGTTATTCTCAGGAAAAAAAAAGAGAAAAGAAGGAAACACCAGCAAAACAGACTTTGTTGCATCTAGTCGGGACCGACTAAGACCAGAAAAAACTCTAGTCTGCGGACGATATTAGTATAGAAAAAATAAAAAATAAAAAGGAAACGAAACACGGAACAGCGGACCTCAGGTAAGTCACTTTTTGGTTTCCTCTACTCACTCATTAGATCTGCCAGTAATATTGTTGATTTTTGTCGACCTTGCACGCAGTTGAAGCGCCACCACCGTGTGAAGTATTTTCTTTTGTCCTGTCGTTGATCTCTCTTCTCGTGGAAAAGTGGCAGTTGATAAGACGCTAAGATGAGCGTAGCAGGATCAGACGCCACAACTGACCCTGGGGACGTGGGAGTCCCCGAAATAACGATAGGGTTCAGAAGGCTGATAGTTAGTATGAAGCTACCCACTTATAAAGGAAACCCTGAGGACCTGTATGAATGGATTCTCTCCATCCAAAAGAAGCAGGTGATTTATGGCTTATCAGACCAAGAAATAGTGCTCTTGGCTTTCGACGCCGCAGCGGGGTAGGTGTCTAAGTTTATAGGGGCATGGTACAAAGAAAACCAAGCCTCGACATGGACAGAGCTTAAATCTGCTCTGGTGCGGCAATACGCAAGTGAGCGTACGGTCATTGAGGCAGTCAGGAAATTATTCCGGCTGCAGCAACAGGAAGGCGAGACAAATGAAGAATAGGGAGAAAGAGTTGCGGAGCTAGCAACATTAGCTTTTCCGGAATTGGTGACTCGTAACAGTGGCCATATTCAGGCCTTATTGGCCGATGAATATGTAGACGCGCTGAGCGACAGGGACCTGAGGGGTGATGTTCTGAAGGGAGGACCGATCACCCTGGCCGCAGCCATAGAAGCGGCTCGGACCAGCGAGCGACTCTGGGATAGGATAAGAGGAGGTGTAGGAAGGAACCACCGGGGAGCCAAGGTAATGATAAAAAAAGAAGGATCGGGAGCCGAAAGAAGAGGTATAAAAGGACTGGGAGGCTGAGGCTGACCCCAATAGGAGAGCCTGGGATTTGCGTTATGGGTTTTTCAAGCCCAAACCGGGCCGATTATGGAGGCGATCCAAGATCTCGGGAGCCGAACTGTACAATTTGTGGCGAGTTCGGGCATAAGGCTCGATGGTGTACGGCGAAGAGGGACCGTAAACTGGGGATAACCCACCCCCCGGAGAAGGAAAAGGGTCCGGGAAACGCCAATGGGTCCCCCGGGAAAAAGTAAGAGGCAGAGTGGCCACAGTGCAAGTAAGACCTCTGAGATGCTGGACATGTCGTGTGGTCGGGCATCTTTCGGCCAGTTGTAAAGAGTGAAAGTGTTGGCAATGTGGAGGATCGGATCACCTAAAACGAACCTGTCCTCGCAGGAGAAAGTTAGGCCACGCAAAACAGAACAACCCCGACTTGAATAAAGGGGAGAAACAGTTTACTAGTCCGGGAAAGGAGAGTCATCCGGGCTTTACCTAGATAAAGGCGAACTCCTGTTGCCGGCCACCGTGTCTCGGTTGTCGAGCAAACGGAAGAAATGGAGAGAACATGCAGGAAGGAGAAAGGCACAGGTGTACCGTTTGCTGAAGGAAGGACCAGAATTCACCTGTAATGTGCTGCTTGGAGACAAGAAGGTGGGGGCCCTTGTCGATACGGGAGCTTCAGTGTCGCTAGTTAGCTCCAATGTTTTTAGACAGTTGGGACTGAAGACGAAGCTTAGTCCTGTCGATCTACTAATAAGTCAAGCTGAGTAGTAGGATGAGGATAGAGGGTATGACGTGGCTACCTTTCCAATTGACAAGAATCAGAGGTAAACTTAAGGTTTATGTGGCACCAGACTTGTGGTGAGCTAATTCTGGGGGTGGGGGCGACTGGCTGAGGCAGAATAAGGCACGGATCAGTTTTGACCCCGTCGCCCTAACATTGGATGGAGTAGGGATACCGTTGGGAGAAAATAATTATGAACAATTGCCAGTGGTCGCCCAGACGGATATAACGTTTCCCCCTAGGACTACTGTGTCGGGGAAGGGCAAAATTGTAACAGAAGGAGTGCTGAGCAGTGACCTGTACCAAGTGGTCCCTACTGATAGGTACGATGATAGTGAAAAAGAGATAGCCGTATGTGATTCGTTAGTAAAGGGGTCGAGGACTGTTCCCTTACTGTTAAATAATGCTGCCAATAAAACTATTAAAATTAAGCAGGGAGAGGAGCTGGCACAGGCGTGCCCAGTGAGAGAAGTCGAGCAGGTGAGAGTGTGGAATGAGATAGGTAGCAAGGAAATAAGGGAGGAGGATATAAACGCTCCTGAACATCATAAGAAGAAATTGAGTGGGTTGCTGAACAATAATCGGGAGGTAATAGCCATTACTGACAAGGAACTGGGACAAACAGAGACAGTAGAAATGAAGATAGACACGAGTAATCACCCACCTATTAAGTTCAAGCCGTATAGAACCCCAATCCACAAAAGAAAATTAGTAGAGGACGCAGTGAATGAAATTATGGAATCAGAGATAATCGAAAGATCCAAATCTTCCTGGAGTTTTCTCATAGTCATTGTGGAAAAGAAAGATGGAGGGCATAGGTTTTGCGTGGATTTTCGTCAATTAAATGGCATTACGAAACCGCTGGCAGTGCTCCTTCCCTTGATTGATGATATTCTAGCCCTTTTAAGAAAAAAACTGTTTTCCACCTTGGATTTGAGGTCGGGATATTGGCAAGTGGCCCTTAGCAGAAAGGATCGGGAAAAAACCGCTTTTTCCTATCACATGGGTCTCTTCAATTTTTTAGTTCTGCCTTTTGGGTTAGCAAACGCCCCGGGTGTATTTAGTCAGTTGATGTCCATCGTACTGAATGGCACGGAGGCCTTTGCCATGGCATATCTAGATAACATCATGGTGTTTTCAAGGGCAACAGAGGAACATCTCGAACATCTACAAAAGGTGTTCGATAGGTTAAAAGAGCATGGACTAAAGTTAAAATTATCAAAGTGCCAGTTTATGAAAGAAGAGACGAAATATTTAGGGTTTATCATAAATAAAGAAGGGATAAAGACGGATCTAGACAAAGTAGACATTATAAGGGCCATGCCCGCACCGAAGACTGTAAGAGAGATCAGGGGATTTATTGGAGCCATCGGATATTATCGGAGGTTCATACTAGCCTTCAGTCGGCTGCCAGGCCCTCTAATAGCTGTAAGAAGCATGATAGGTTTAAGTGGACCGAGGATTGTCAGCGTGCGTTCGAAGCTCTGAAGGACCAGCTGACAGCTATACTCCTGTTGGCCTACCCAGACCTGAGTAAGCCTATGGTGCTGTACACAGACGCTAGTGATAAGTGCATCGGGGCGGTTCTTACATAACCATGTCTCGACAAGGATGGCCCAGTACCAGGTGTGCCTGAGGAAGTGCCGATTTACTTTCTGTCTCATCGACTCTCCGATACTCAGCAAAGATGGCCAGTAATAGAGAAAGAGGCGTTTGCTATCCTGTATGCTGTGCAAAAGTTGGACTATTATTAGAGTAGGGCAGTGTTTACCATTAAAACAGACCACAAACCCCTTAAAGGCGGAGTGGACAAATAAGAAGCTACAGCAATGGGCGTTGAAACTAAGTTGATATAACTGCAAGATAGAATACTTGGCATGATCCCATATTATAGAATAGAAGAGCAGACGGATCCGGTTTCCTTTGTGATATGGGACCAATTGACCGGGAAGGTAAAGAGGGTGCATGGGATTGATATAAAACTAGCAGAAATAGGGGAATTGCAGGGAGCCGAAACAAGAACTTAACAGAAAAGGCTGAGGAGAACTATGTTAGTAGAGTTGGAGACGGGGAGTGAAAGCGAAGGGAGTGAAGAGATTAATGTTAGCCCAACTACCCTTCGAAGGCTGAGGGAGGTAAAGCGGACCCCAGCGGGACCTTCTGAGAAGGCAGGAATTGACCCTAACCTTAGGGAAGAAGAGGAACTGAGTGAATGGGAAGAAGAAGATGAAATTCCGTAAGCACAATTGCAGAGTAAATTGCGGCTCGAAGAAGCGCCTGGTGTTAGTGAGGAATTACCACTAAAACTGCGATTAAGGGGGGCGGTGCAGCCCGAGCCCAAAGAGTAAGTGGAATCAGTACAATGGTTGTGCCGAATGAGTAACGGTCTGTGACTGACCGGGCAATTATCATCGGTGTTGTGGGTTGCGTGGAAGGGCCCCCATGCATGCACAGCACTGGTGATGGTGCGGGTCAGTGCTTGATATGTTGCTCTAAGATATAACCACCCATTCGAAACCAAAACAGAATGATTGAGTAAGACGAATTATTCTCTCCATATCCTTGCAGACATGGACGAGAGGAGGCTTGCGGTACTGATAATGCTGGTTCTGGTAGTTTAGACCTGGGAACACAGTGAGAATACTGTATTTAAGAAGACGAGCGAAGTAGTTATTACTAGATCAAAGTGGTTGATAACTTTGGTGATAGACCTGCAGCCGTATGAGAAGTTACTGGGTCAGTTGAAGATAGAAGTGGACAAACTAGATACAGCCAGGACACAAGTCGCCGGAGACTATTTACAGACTCAGGGATTCCTGAGCTAAAGGGTATAATATACGGTGGTATTCCTAATACTTGAGAGACAATGGAAGGATATGCGTTACTATTTGAAGGGATTAAAGTTGTTACGGACCAGGAAAAGGAGGTCAGTACTACCTATAATGGGAAAGGCATTGAGCGTGTTGTTTGGTACAGTCTTCGAAGGTGAAGTGAGGGTAATTAAGAGGAAGTTAAAAATGAGAGAGCAGAGGCAACAAGCTATGGCTCAACAGGTTAAAGAGAGCGTATCTATACTCAATGTTACTAGGGTGGAATTGGCTAAGAATAGAGGGAGTATCAATTGGTTGATTTCTCATCTACGGGTTTTTAGAAAAGAAGTAATAAATGTAACCAAGTCTATAACAACCGAATTACAACAATTAGAAGGATTTTTGCAAAGGTATTTTCAGTTGTTAGCTATAATGAGTAAGGTACGTCAAACAAATCATTCTTTAACAGTGTTTTTGGGGCATGTGAGGGCACAATTAGACATGTTGTCGCTGGGACATCTGTCGACGAGTATAATAACTCCGGAAGGATTGAGGGAGGCACTGCTGGAGATACAAGCCAAGCTACCCCATCATCTTCGATTACTGGTAGACCCCACTCAGCAGTTATGGAAGTATTATAGTGCCTTGGGATGTGCTACCTTGCTGGAAGATGATAAATTGCTAGTGCTCGTGCCGGTGCCATTACTGGACAGAGATAGCACCTTTGAAATTTACCAGGTGATGAATCTCCCCCTTCCCTATCCAAAGCTAGAGCCGGAGATAAGAGTAGTGGCAAGGTACAAAGTAGAGACGGAATTTGTCGCCCTAAATCTGGCCAGAACGAAGTTTATGCTATTGACACAGGGAGAAGCAGAAATATGCAAGAATGACGCCTTAGTTACCTGTGGGTCTGTGAGTCCAATTTATGTGACAGGTAGCCACGATCTGTGCGTACTAGAATTATTTAAGAAAAATAAGAAGAGAATTAGGGATCATTGTCAGGTAGAGGTATTAGCCAGGGTAATGTTGCCTAAAGCTATCGGTGTCTCCGACGGAATTTGGGCAGTGGTCACACAAGAAGAGATTGAATTATCTAAGGTGTGTGCGGGAGAGCCCACTACTACAATAAGGGTTACTCCCCCCTTGTTTTTTGTGGAGCTACCCCTCGGCTGTGGAGCTCATGGTCCATCTATCTCCTTACCCCCCTACAACCGGGCGGAAGAGACATTTGAAGAGAATGAGGCTTTATTAGAGCTGGTAGGAATGAATGCCAGCGGATGGACAGAATTGTGGGAGTCCATTATAAGAGAAATTCCTAAGATGTCCCTAGAAAAGATGCCATCTTGGACGATTGAAGTCACAGTTAGATAAGTTGGTTAAACCAAATTCGGGCTGGAGAGTGAACTTGGTTGATATAATAACCTGGCCGACCGTTGTGGGAATTATACTAATAATAGTAGTGGCCTTGCTAGTTTGGCGGTGGATGAAGAGACGTATGGTATCGTCGACCGGGCAGAATAAACTGGCAGGGGAGTGCAGGAGTGAGGAGGGGATTCCGGTTAGTGCACTTTATCAAGGTGTGTCCGACCATGTGGCATCAGAACCCGTAACAAATATTGAGAAATAATCCGCGATTGTCGCGGAGGAACTTGAACCATCGAGAGATCTGGCAAAGCCTGTTGTGAAGGCGAGGCGAGGCGAGGCGAGAGCGGACGGACAGATCCACAAAATAAAATTGAATTAATCTTTTTTCTTTGCGTGGATATATATGAAAAAAAGAAAGAAAAGAAACGATTGTGATAATTGTGACTGTCTTCGAACTGGAAAAAAAGAATTTTTTTTTTTTTTAATTTAATAATTTTTTTTTGTTTTGGTTCTTTTAATGTTTTTTTTTATATTATCTTAGTGATGAGTCTGGAAAAAAAATTGTGATTATCTTGTGAATATCTTTAAAAAAAAAAAAAAAAAAAGAGCATACGAACCAATAAACTAGCTGCAACTGTTCTATTACATGAGATTGCCAAACCCGTGAACTTTTACATGTGTAGCGTAAAGACAATGAAAATGGGTATAATGAGCCCTAAGAAGAACTGAGGTCTACCTTTGGATGCTGGAAGAGACGTATAAGTAGACCCCAGTCAGAAGCATGTTGGACTGGGTTTTCTTGGATTTTTCGTGACATGAAAACTCATGTGTCATTTACTAGTAAATAACAAATGGGTAAGGGAGGAATGTAACAGAGAGAGGTATACATACACACACACACACACACACACACACACACCCATGAATACACACACGCAATATAACTTTTATTGACTGGAAATGGAAACGGTGTTTATATATCAAAGTACAATTTGGGGTAAGATGTGTGTTTACCGATGAGAAACACAATCTCAGGACAGGAGGCGATGTTTTAAACCTGGGTCACTAGTAAACAATGGGGATAGGCGAGATACTTGGTTTTGTTTAACAGAATTTGCTTTGATTAAAAGGTTGAATCAATGTTTAGATATCCCAAAGTATAATTTTGGTGAAGCGAGAAGAAATCGTGATTGAGATAAGGTAAATAATTGGAGAATCGGTTTACATGTCAAGGGATAGATTTTGGCACTCATGGTGGCCGCGTGCCGAGCCGAGGGTCAATTGTGATCAGCTAATCATTTTCTATATTAACTCGAGATTTTACTAATAAAGAGAGTCAGAGAAAGAGACTGTAGTCGAGAGAGTCACGAGACTATTGGACTATTAGACATAAACCTACCCCAGGCGATTTAATACGTGTTTATCACACACAAACCCTCCTTCTGTTAGGAATTCGCTGGATGCATTTTAATTTTTGCTTTTTTTATTAATGTTAAATGTTTTTATTCTCCCTGTAACCTCTGTTCTGATGTTATCTTCTTATATAAAAGATGTCAATATTTCCCCCATTGTTGTCTGGCTTCTGCAGATATTATTTCTTGTTTTATTTTGCCACATACTGGAACTTCCTAGCGCCAACCCTCACAGCCGTGTCCACATCCACAGTCAACTGTGAACGTATGGACAACACCCAGCTTACTGGATCTAAAAAGTAACACAGCGTGGGCAGCGAGCAGGACTTGACCAACTGACAGGTCGAAATAATCTACAGGTACACAGGGAGCGTACGGCCAGTTAAACCTACCGTTGGTTCGGACCGAGTGGACACCTCAACCCAAACAGGAAGACGCTGGAGGTTGAGGGGCTGGGGACAAAGTGGTAGAAATACTAAATTACAAAAGATAAATAGAATCCTAAAGTGGAAAGAATGAGAGAAATATACAGTGATCCCCAACATTATGTCCACTTAATTTTTCCAATGAAATCAGTATTATTTGGGTAATCACTGTTGCATGCTGTGCTCACTACATAAGTTCGAATAAAAAGAAAATTTTCCCAGGATATAGAGTAGGGATTTACATAATGATAATTATAAATTAATAAAGATATATAAAAATCTAAAGTTGGAAGAATGAGAGAAATATACAGCGAACCCCACATTATGCCCACTTATTTTTTCCAATGAAATCAGTATTATTTGGGTAATCTATGTGGCATGCTGCCCTGACTACATAAGTTCAAATAAAATGAAAATTTTCCCAGGATACAGAGGAGGGATTTACCTAATGATAATTATAAATTAATAAACATAAATAAAAATCTTAAGTGATGTTGAAACTTGACTAATGCATGGAATAATAATACAACACAAAATGTACTTAGAACAAAATGTATTGAAACAAGAAAGTGTACACAATATTTACATATAGTCTTTTGTATATTCTTGGGAAGACCGTTCCTGGAGAATGTGTTGACTTAGTCGCAGTCGGACAGTCTCTGGATTGGATCTCTTCTTCCTCATCCTCGTCTTCCCGGTACCAACCATATTTATATGGTCGGTACTCACTATATAAATTAGGTGGATCCTACCACAACACCCCCCTCCCAAGCCTTGGAATCCCTTTTTGATTTCAAACTGGCTTCCTATATGGGTTGATGGTTATGGCTATTTCTTTGTAGATCCATTTGCCTAATTTTAATATTTTTTCCGTTTTGGATTCACGTCCAATGGTTCCGTGAACTTCCGTTTCCTACCGGATCTTCTTGGTTCAGGAGTATTCTGTGGAGGTTCTACCTGAAACATATCATACATTATATCAATGGGATCTTCGTCCTCATCCGGTATACTCTCTTCATACTCTATATCGTAACATTTTTTAAGTTGGTTCTGGTGCCTTTTATGAGTATTCTTCGGTCCTTTAATTATGTAAATCAGGTCACCGATTCTCTTGTTCACTATGCCTCGTTCCCAGAACTCAACGTTGTTTTTGTAGCACTTGAAAAACACCTTCTCTCCGGGGGTGTATCTTTTTCTCGCTGTATACATAGTATTTTTTCCTGGCAGTCGCAGTCGGGCAGAGTCTCTGGATTGGATCTCTTCTTCCTCATTATTTATTGTACTATGTACAAATGTGGCACAAGGCCGAAATGGGGAAAGGGGAAAAGGATGGCCAACCTCTGTCTTAAATTTAAACTTAGCTAGCCGCAATCACTGACCCAAACATACAAACAATGTTCCTTTCACCAAAACAACACATCCATTACTTACCATTCTTACTACATCCACCAAAATGCCTCTTTGACTCAATGAAAATCCTAAATACACCCCTTATGTACAAATATTGTCTGTGGGGAGGGGGCATAAAACAACAATTTAAAAAAAAAATCCCCAATGAGTATATACAATATGTCGAAATATATTTACAAGGAACTAAACAAAATTAGTGTTAGTATTAAAAACCCCCACAAACTTTGAATGTGGCAGAAACATCAGTTAACCGGACGAAATCGATGCGGGACTATGAAAATAAGGACACATTCAATCCGTCAAGCACTCACACAAGCACTCACTCATTCATACACAACAACAAATACGAAAGCACGCGCACGAAACGAAAGGCGCCCCGCATCCATCAGAGAACTGACATCACTGACCACCTAAACGAGGGAGGGATGGGGAGTTAAACTAAAAAGGAAGAAAAGTGGGGACAGAAAAAAAAGGGGACCAATGAGCAAACACACCCTAGCTAAGTTTATCAGAACAGGAAAGAAAAAACTAAACGAAAAAAAATACAAAAACCTACTCTAACCTAATTTCTGGATGGGTTGCTCATGTTCAACCCAGGAAAACAATATCCTGATGCCTAACCGACATCAAAATGCCACTCCAAGTCAGCCCTTTTACACGGCACAAACGCGCAAGATTCACCCACCTTTTGCTGAATTCTGATGAGGTGAGCCGCCGCCTTTCCGTCTAATCTTGACTTTAAGCTGATGCTTAAAGTACAAGATCAGTTGGGAAGAAGTGAACCTCTCGCCCTCATAGAATCCCTTCTGACGCGTCGTCCAAATCACGACTCTCATAACCCCTAGTAAGCAACAGAACACATAGTATTCAGCCTTCGTCAATTGCGGCACCACATTGCTACAAACAGAGCTAGCTTCAAGGACAAAAAACTTTCCCTGCAACATGCGAACCATGAGGCCATCAACAAACTTGCATTAACGGCACTACCGCCTTGCACCGAAAAAAAGGCGTGACCAATGGTCTCGACTTCCCCAGTACAGCGACGACAGTTTGGATATTTCTCCAAGCCTGCTGAACAGAGTCTCTTGCCGACCCAGAGGGCTTCACGAATCACCAGCCAGGTGAGTGATGCCTCATCGTTATTGAGGCATTTCAACCCAGGCGCCCAAGGCCAAATCGAGCGAGCCTCCTGCTTCGTAAGACCGAGCTCGCCAATTAGATCATCTTGTGCGCCCCCCCCCCCTAACTAATACATGATACAATGCCTTACGAGACAACGCCTGGGCGTTGGAGAGACCATCCGTAGCCCGCAAGAGGAGCTTCAGAACGCGACGACATTCACGATAGAAGGAGCACTCGGCTCGTGGTGTACGGCCGGCCTCTTCTTCGCACGAGTGCACACTTCTCAGGGACGGGAAATGTTTCTGGACGTCTTCTTTCCAAAGGCGCCCTCCTCATCCGATCCGACACATTCGGTCTAGAAAGGTGATGCGAAGCATATATTGACGAATCTCAATGCTAGGCATACCCAGACCGCCCTCCGAGGGATGAAGGCAACAGATCTCGCGAGATACCATAGGGGCCTTGTCTCCACAAGAAAGAGAACAAGGTCCGAACTAATAAAATTAGTTTGGCATACGGGAGTGGAAGCACAGAGAGTCGGTAAAGAATTGGATATATGTGTGAAAACACATACTTCCGCCCTTCCCTTCAGGGAGAGTCTCCTCCGAGACCACAGATTAACCGCGATCTCGGCCTTCCTTGTACCTCCGACCAATTCATTTCCAACTGGAGATCAGGACCGAACCAGACGCCGAGAATCTTGATCGGCCCATCCGTCCAGAGGAAAGGTCCGGGAAGAGAAACTCCGCTCCACGCACCCAACCGCAAGCCAACAGACTTATCGCGGTTGATCTTGGACCCTGTCACCATCTCATACCCACTAATGTCCTTGGTGACTTCGTCAATCTCGGCTCTGCTCGACACAAGAACCGAAACGTCGTCAGCATAGGCAGAATACCTGGCCGAGGTGGAAGCAACAGGCAGCGAAATTCCGCGCAGGACCGGATTCGCCTTTAACTTGCGAAGGAATGGTTCCAACGCAAGAACGTAAAGCATAGGCGAGAGCGGACAACCTTGACGAATGGAGCGAGACAATACGAAAGGCTTCGAACTTACCCCATTCACTTCCACCAGCGCACCGGGGGTCGCATACGAGAGTCGGATCCAGAAGCGAAAGTCGGCTCCGAAACCAGCCGCCGAAAGGACAGCCTCCAAAAATCGATGGTCAACCCTATCGAAGGCAAGGACTGATCCAAATTGATCAGCGCGGCTTCACTGTCGACTTGTTCTAAGATCAAGCGTACCATGTGAAGGTTATCCTGAATAGTCCTGCCCTTCAAAGCACAAGTCTGTTCGGGGCCAATCAGACGAGACAGGACAAGCTGCAGACGGTTGGCTAAGATCTTCGCCAAAATCTTTAAGTCCGTATTTAACATCGTTCCCTAACGAAAGTTCCCTAACCCATCCCCACCGT